GCAGCCTGGTGCCCTGGGGTGAGCTGCAGCCCCTACTCCACAGCCAGATCAGCGGCTTCGTGGAAGGGGTCCAAGCCCGCAGCTACAAGCCCCTGCTGGCCCGGCCCAGGTGCGAGGGGCTGGAGGCCCGGATCGAGCACTTCGTGCGGAGGGGCCGCATCGAGCCGCCCCAGGGGCCGGGGCTGCCGGGGGACTGGGCCGGGGAGCCCCCCGAGGGCAAGCGGGGCAGCACCGGAGCCCCCGAGCAGCTGCCCAAGAGGATCTGCATGGACACTGAGTGACGGGGCATCACGGCATAGGGGCAGCTGAGGTTTCACCCTTTTTTAAATTACTGTTATTGGAAAAAAAATATGCGCTTTTTTAATGCTATTTTTTATAAATCTCAAGAAAACCGGAGTAACGGTGTTGTGTTCTGGCTGGGGGCGATGGGAGGGGGCTCAGCGCCCGCAGCGCGCAGTGAGGGGGACGGCAGAGGCTGTTCCGGGCTCGGACCCCCCCACCCCGCTCTCTCCCCGGTACCTCCGGCCCGGCCGCGCCGCTCCCGCTGCTCCGTTGTGATCCGCAACCGCCGCCGCGGTTTAAACACCCCCGCGCGCCGCCATTGGCCAGCGCGGCTGTCACTCAGCTGATGCCGCTTTCCCATTGGACAGGCGCTCCGCGGGGCCGCACCCGCGGCGCCGCCATTGGCCGGCAGAGAGACGCGGAGAAGGAGGCAGAAGATGGCGGCGGGAAGCGGCGCGGCGAGGCGCTGTTGGCGGAGCGGTGTGGGGCTGGCCCGGGCGGTGCGTGGCGTCTGCGGGAGCGGGCGGGTGACGGCGGCTCTGCGGGCGGAGGAGCTGGCGGAGCGGCTGCGGAAGAGCGAGGAGCAACAGCGAGAGGTGAGCGGACTGCGGGCCGTAGGGCCCGGTGTCCCCGGACTACAACTCCCGGCGTGCACAGCGCGGGCGGTCACAGGGAGCGGGTGAGAGGGATGGGACAGAAAAGGTCCGGTTCCATCTCCGGCCATGGGCAGGGACACCTTCCACTAGGCCAGGGTGCTCCAAGCGCTGGCCAGCCTGGCCTTGGACACTCCCAGGGATGGGGAAGCCATAGTTTTTCTGGACAACCTGTGCCAGGGCCTCACCACCCTCACAAGGAAGAATTCCTTCTCAATACTCCCTCTAACTCTGTCTTTTGTCGGTGTGAAGCCATGCCCCCTTATCCTGTCACTCCAGGCCCTTACCCAAAGTCCCTCTGCAGCTCTCTTGGAGATCCTTTAGGCACTAGAAGGAGCTCTGAGCTCTCCCTGGAGCCTTCTCCTCTCCAGGTGAGCACCCCCAGCTCTCCCAGCCTGGCTCCAGAGCAGAGGGGCTCCAGCCCTTGGAGCATCTCCGTGGCCTCCTCTGGCCTGGCTCCAGCAGCTCCAGCTCCTTCCTGTGCTGGGACCCCCGAGCTGGAGGCAGCTCTGCAGGTGGGGTCTCACCTGAGTGGGGCAGAGGGGCAGAATCCCCCCTCCCCTGCTGCCCACGCCGGGGATCAGCCCAGCACAGGGGGGTTCTGGGCCAGGGCCTGTGCAGCTCTCACCCAGCAGAACCCCAAGTGCTTCTCCCAGAGCTGCTCTCCATCCCTTCATCCCCAGCCCCAACTGATCCTGAGTGTTGCCCTGACCCAGGTGCAGCACCTGCCCTTGGCCTTGTTGAACCTCATGAGAGGCCACAAGGTCTTTGTCTGAGCTTGTCCTGATCCCTCTGGATTCCACACCGTCCCTCAGTTGTGGAGCAGGAGCACATGGAAGGCGAGCACGTTGCTGCAGGTCTCAGTGCAGGTTTGTGTGAAAGCCAAGAGCTGTTTAAACCCCAGCACTGGTGTCTGGTTCTCTCCTCAGATCCCCAAGGACCCGGTGCAGCGCTGGCTCCGGGAACTTGCTGCACTGAGCCAGCAGCTGCAGCAGGTTCACCCCAATGTTCTGGCCAAGATCCTGAAGCAGAGAACTGTATACCAGAATGAGGAGATTGTGGTGATAGACAAACCCTACGGGCTCCCTGTGCACGGTGAGGTGGAGCGGGGAATGGAAATGTCTCCATGGTGCTGACGGGGATCCTCTGTCTCTGTCCTTCCTGTGCTGGGGTTTCCCTTCCCAGGGAGGGTTCCAGGGACTTGGTCACTGTCAGATCTCAGCCTTCCCCTCACATTTTGGATGATTTGGGGTGCATGGGGAGCCCAAGAGGTGAGACTCCTTGCTGCCCTGGGTCATGCAGGCGGCCCTGGCATCAAGAACTGCATCGCTGATGTGCTGCCCATTTTGGCCAAGATGCTGGAGAACATGAAAGCTGACCCCCTCCACCTCTGCCACCGGTTGGACAAGGAGACCACGGGTGTGATGGTGCTGGCACGGAGCAAGGAGGCAGCAGAGAAGATCCGTCTGCTCTTCAAAACCCGTCAGGTGGAGAAGATCTACTGGTAGGAAAGTTTTGAGTGAAAAAGGGGCTGTGAAGGGGGTTTAAAAAAGGGTGAGGGGACAATCACTGGGGTGTGGGGGTTTTCTGGAAGCAGGGGATGTTGTTTATCTTCCCCCTTCAGCACCATTTTATGGGGCTGGGTCATGGGAGAGGGGCTGAGGGGAAGGTTCCTGTCCTGTGAGAGCAGCACCCCGCAGACCTCTGCTTTCCCTTTCCAGGGCAGTTGTCCTGGGGGACCCGGACCCTGTTGAGGGCGTTGTGGAGATCCCCATTGTGGAAAAGGAAGTGCAGAGCCACCAGTCCCACTACAAGGTGAGTCCTATGTTCCCTCAGCCACCATTCTGGCCAGGCAGCCCCAGCATCCCCTCCTGTCTCCCCCAACTCCCCCTCTCACCACCCTCCAGATGACGCTGGCTCCCAACTACCGCCTGTGTCCGGAGAATGGGAAGGTGATGAAAATCCGCAGGAACCGGAACGCTGAGAGAGCGGTGACTCGGTACCGCCGGCTGGCCGGGGCCTCCGCCTGCTCACTGCTGGAGCTCCAGCCCATCACTGGTGAGTGAGGCCTGCCCAGCTGTCCTGGGGCTGGATCTGCTCTCTGTGCAGTCAGCAGCAGCTCTGGAAGGGGGAACTTATCACTAGACATGACTGGAATCCTTTCTGGGACAAAGCTTTGGGAATAAGCCCTGCTGGGGTGATGCTTTGCTGCTGAGCTATTTGCTGCCTGCCAGTGATTTTGGTATGGCTTTGTCCAGCACTGAGGGTGGTGGGTGCTGAGGCCTGGCACAGCTAGATGTCACCTTTCTCTTTTCCCTTTTTCTCCTTAGGGGTGAAGCACCAGATCCGGGTTCACCTGGCCTATGGCTTGGGATGCCCCATCCTGGGGGATCACAAATACTCGCACTGGAGCAAACTGGCACCCCAGGTAATGCAAGTCTTGCACTGGGGAGCAGCTGGAGCTTGATACAGCCCCTTGTATCCCTCAACTCTTCGTGGGCTGGGGATTTCGAGTCCCAGCTGAAAAGCTGCAGTTTTGAAGGGAACATTTTCTGTCTTTGCTGCAGAAGCTTCCTGAGCTCACCCTGAAGAGGCTGAAGCTGGAACAGAGCAAGGCTCGGCACCTGCCCCTACACCTGCACGCCCACCGGCTCTGCCTGCCCCTGGGCCAGCCCTTAGACTTTGTCTGCAAGCCACCCCTCTTCTTCCAAAAAACCCTGAGGAAGCTAGAACTGGACATCCCTAAGGACTGATGAGCAGGACTGGAATGGTGCCATGTATCTCCGTGTCTCCAGCACGTGGCAGCAGCTGTGCCCACCTTGGGGCCAATGGTGGGGTGAAGCCTGCAGTCACTGTGCTGATGCTGATGTTGCTGGATTCAGATTGGGTGCCTATATGTGCTTCTGGCCCAGGGAAGCAGCTGAACACGCTGAAGATGAGATGAACAAGGCTGTGTGGAAGTTGGGCTTTGCCTGATTTGTGTTTTGAACTTGTCTCCGGGCAATAAAAGCTCCAGTTCCCTTGAGGGAAGGTGTTGTGTGTCTCTGTGCTTTAGCCAGGTGGTACTCAGTCCCTGTGTAGATCTGAGCAGACCTACACAGATTTTGGAACTGTCACTTGTCTCTCCAGAGTTGTTTAGCTCAGATTTGGAGAGTCCTATCATTAGAAAATCCATCGAAAGTACAATTTGGCAGTGGCTCTGGTATTTTTTTGCTGTGCTGAGAGACTGCACAGGGAGTTCCTTGGGAGTTGGCTTGGCTGGGCTGAGCAGCTCTAAGACTGCTCTGTGCTTCCAGCAGCATTGGTGTGGATTTCTGAGCACTGTGCTGCTGGGGAACTGTTCTGTCCCACTGCTCCTTCAGTTTCCCTATCCCTTATCCCTTATTTCTAGAACCCCTTATTGGGATCCCCTGCTCTTGGGAGCTTTCCTTGGAGCCAGATTCTTCCCTCTGTGCCCTGAGAGGGAGGCAAGAGGATGATCTGGGGAATTGCAGCTGATGTTTTGCTTCAAAATTACTTCATTTGGTGTCTCCTGGCCTGTCTGAGGAGCTTGGGGCTGGATGTTCTCTGGCCCCTCTTTCTGGTTAGGGTGCTGGAGATTTTTTGTACCCCACAGGGCCACCATGTATCTGGCTGGGGTTTCTTGCTGTGGGAGGGCCCAGTCTCCTGGCTCCCTGCTGAAAATAGCTGGGGACCCCCATGCCCTCGGCCCACAGCACCAAAAATCTGTTGGCTGATGAGAGAGGGACGTAAAACCACGGGGAGCCAGGAGCGGCTGCGGCCGGGCAGGATTGCTGCCCTGCAGGAATGCTGTCAGGGAGGAAAGCTGCTTTCCCAGCCCGCTGCTTTCCCAGCTCACTGCTGCGGCTGCCGGGGTGGGTTTTTCTATTTCTGCTTGTGAAAAGGCTTCCCCTGTAATTACGAGGCGATTTAACGCCCTGTCTGAGCTGTCGTTCACAGCTGCCGGACACAGCGCTCAGCAGGGACTCCTCAGCCCGGCAGAGTCACTCTTTGAGCCAGTCACACCTCAGGCAGCCTTCGGCAGCGTCTCTTCCTCACTTCAAAATGTCCCTGTCGCACACGGCTGCCGAGTACATGCTCTCTGATGCTCTGCTCCCGGATCCCAGCAGCTCCCGAGCCAAGGGCTTGCGGCTGGAGCTGCCAAGCGATCGCCTGCTCAAGTTTGTCACCGTGGGGCTGCCCCTCTTCCTCGTCTCACTGGCTTTCGCCCGGGAGTTCTCTGCTGGTGAGTTGTGGCTTTTCCAATGTGTTCTTCAGGTCGTGGGTAATCAATCACCAGTGGTGGTTTGGTTGTTGTGGCAAACCCCTTGTAATGTTGACGGTGTTATGATCTGAAGTGGAACAGCCCAGAAGGCCGGTTTTAGGAGCTGTTCTGCCTCATGGGTGTTTATTGATTTTAATGGATCATAATTCACTGGGAAAGCTTGGGAACAGCCATGCTAACCCCAGGAGCAGCACTGAGTCAATTCCCACCCCCAGCAGCTTGTGCCCAGCACCTTTGGGTGCCACGGGCTTGTTTCCAAGGAGGAAGAAGAGGAGGAGGAGGAGGGTGCCAGCAGCATGGAGAGATGCATTGTGACCTCAGGCTAAATCTGGCCTCGGCCAACATCCAGCTGCTCTCCCTGAGGATTTGGTTTTACTCCAGTTCCTGACTGGTCAGTCTATAATTCCCTGCACTGTGTACACACCACTACACACAAAGGGTTTGTGTTTAGGAAGAGATGGAAAAGTCCTCGCTAGAAACACAGCAGCTCCAAAATGACCATGAAAAAGGCTTTTTTTGAGTCAAAGATGAGTAAGATGTAATTACCCTCCTGTAAGGCATTGGCTTGTGGCTTTGGAGTGTTCCTCCACCCTCCATGGCTGAGGTTTGCTCTCCTCCTCCTCACCCCAGGCTCCCAGATCAGCTGCTTCTCTCCCACCAACTTCACGGGGAAGCAGTCCGCCTACACTGACACGGCTTGCTGGGACTCCCTCATCCACCATGGCTTCGACGCCGAGGGACGTGCCATCACCAAGTCCCTCTGGGCTCTCAAGGTAGGATTAAAGTCATGTCTGGGTGCCCCTGCATCCATCTGGATGTCCACAGCAAGAGTGATTCCACATCCTCAACAACCATTTGTCTTCTTTGCCCAGGTCTTCCCCTACTCGCTGCTGGTGGTGGCGGTGCTGATGTACCTGCCGTACCTGCTGTGGCGTTACGCTGCCGCCCCCGCCCTGCACTGCGACCTCCTCTTCATCATCGACGAGCTGGATAAATCCTACAACCGCTCCGTGCGCCTGGTGCAGCACATGAAGAAGGTCCAGCAGGCCAGTGCCGAGCCAGAGCAATTCTGGGAGGAGTATGAGAGGTGAGGCAGGGCCAGGTCACCGTGGCCCTTGGACTGGCACTGTGGCTTCACCCAGGGTGGATGTGGGTGAAATGGGGGGTGGATCTCACTCCCCCTGTGTCTCTCCACCCCAGGGCCCGTCGGGAGAGGTATTTCGAGTTCCCATTGCTGGAGCGGTACCTGACCTGCAAGCAGCGTTCCCATGCCCTGGTGTTCATCTACATCCTGCGGAACCTGCTGCTGCTTCTGTTCCTGGCTGCCACCTGCCTCTACCTGGTCTTTCTCCACCTTAACATCTTCTTCCAGGATGAGTTCAGCTGCTCCATCAAAACGGGGCTGCTCCAGGAGGAGCCACACATCCCTCCGCTCATCCCTTGCAAGCTGGTCTTCTTCTCCGTGTTCCAGCTCATCAGCCTCTCAGTGGGCAGTGTCTATGTCCTCCTCATCCCTGTTGTCATCTACAATGCCCTGCAGCTCTGCCAGTGGGACAAGGGACTGCTCTCTGTCTATGAGATGCTGCCTGCCTTTGACCTGCTCAGTCGCAGGATGCTCACCTGTCCCCTCAACGATCTCAACGTCATCCTTCTCTTCCTCCGCGCCAACATCTCTGAGCTGACCTCCTTCAGCCGCCTCAACGCCGTCAGCGCCCTGAGGGAAGCCACTGCCAACAAGGAGGACATCGATACTGTCATCGATTTCATGACACTGCTGGCTGGGCTGGAGACCACCAAGCCCAAACACCAAGCTTGCACCCCCGAGGCCGAAGGCAGTACAGCGCTCTCCAAAGGAGCGGCCCTAGGTAGGCTTTTTGGGTAGAGACAACTTCTTCCCTCTTCTCTTGGCTCCCACACCATAAGATCCCACCCTCAGAATGTGGCTGGACCACCCAAAATTTTTTGCCATGACCTTAAGGTGTTTGGGGCATAGCTGGGGGTCACTGTGAGGGCTGACAAATCCTGAAAGGGGTTCTGGCTTCCAGAGTGTGATGCTACTGTGATCCAAGGTGTGGGCAGGGGTTGCTATAGGAACAGCAAGCCAAGAGATTGCTGCTTAAATCCAAGCTCTGGGCAAACTGCGGGGCTGGGAGGGTCCCTGTTTTTGGCAGCTCATCCTGCTGGGAGTGGAGTTGGGAGTTTTAAATCCTGGGATGATGATGCCAAGGAGACATGCCCACCCCATTCTCCTGTTCGCATGGCACTGGCGGGCAGAGTGGGGTTGTGTGTGGATATGAGATAGAGCCACATTCCCAGGATCTGCACTGCTCCCTCTCCCATGTACTTTGGGTTTTGGGGAGCTGGATGCCTCCTTTGGGGTCTCACAGGGACTCCTGGCACCCATGGCAAGTGGTTTGCAGGCTGTGTGAGACAGCCCAGCCCCACAGGTAGGAGCTGAGAGGCCTGGGCTTCATTCCTGGCCCTGAACACACAGTCTGAATTATGCTTTAAAAAAATCCACAGACTGAGCTGCATTCTGCATCCTCGTTACCATGGCAACCCAGGGCCAGCACAGCTGGCTCCTGGGCCAGTTACTTGGTGCTGAAAAAAGCCCAGATCCTAGTCTGCCGTTGCCCAGCTAATTAACTGCCTGCTCTTCCCCCCTTGTCTAGAACCAAAGCCTGGAGTGGAAACGATGGGAAAAGCCTCACGGGACTCGCTCGGCTCTGCCTGACCCAGAAGCAGGCAGGGATCCTGTGATCCCAGGAGCCACTTTTCTAACACAGCTGTCCTGCAGCAGCCAGGCTGAACCCACCTGCACCTCCTGCACCTGGCCTTTCTCTTATGTACATTTGTCCAGCAAAAAAGGGTTAAACAATCCATGTTTTGTGCAGAACCTCTCAGGTCTCTTATTCTAAGTGCTGGGTGCCATGCTGTGCCTCTTCCACACAAATTTCCTTGCTCTTACGGCAAGAGGTGGGGAATGAAGGATTAGGAATGCTCCTCTGAAAGAAAAAAGGGATTCAGGAATAAAATGAGGTGGTTTATTAACTCTTTATTAAGAGAGGGAAGTGGAAGGCACTCGCAGCCCTCCACAGCTCCCTGTCCCAGCCCAGCCTTAGTGTTTGGCTGTTTTTTTTTAGCAGAGCTCCTCTCTCCCCCTCTCCACCCTGCAGCTGGAAGCTGATCCCTGGATCCTGTCAGCACCCTACCCTGGGGATCAGCAGTCCATGCCCAGAGAAATGGGGTGTCTGGGGGGGCCAGGACCAGCTCCATGGGCAAGGGAGCAGCAGTGCAGGGTTCAGCTCCCATTGGTGAGTCCTGCTGCTACTCCTTACATAATTTTTCATATATATAATTGTAAATTGTCTTTTTCCCCTTCCCCCACCCCATAGCCTTGGCTTGAGTCCACAGGGGAGCTGAAAAGTTGCTTAATTAATAAGGTAGTAATGAAGCCTCTGATTCCCTGGTTTGGGAAGGGACAGTGCCAGGAGCCATGAGTGCTCTGCCAGAAGCCTGAGCTCACTCATCTTCCTAATTCAGAGGGAACCTGGAACTAGGAAGGAGCAGCAGCTCCCTCCCTCCAGCAGCATTCCCTGCAGGGAGGGTGTCCAGCAGGAAGGGGGGTGCAGGCAGCCCCTGGGAGTTGTAAAGGGGGCAGGCCTGGTACTCACAGGGCCACTCAGCCCAGGCATAGCGCAGGCCCAGCAGCAGTGTCCTGCAGCCACTCAGGGCCAGCGTCACCGTGCGGGACCCTACTGCCACCACTGGTGCCAGCAGCCACTGGCACGGGGATGCCTGGCTGGAGCAGCACACCTGGGGAGAGGAGACACCCCCATCAGTGTTGCCTTCCCTTTCGCAGCTCTTTGGAGAGGATATCTCACTCCTCACCTCAAATGCCTGTGCATCCCTCTGACGGCAGATGAGCTCCTGGCTGTAGGTGACATTCAGCAGCCCTGTGGTCACGTCCAGGATAGCCCGGGTGGGATATGGGCCCTGGAACACGAGGTCCTTGTCCCCATAAGCCACAGCCCTGGCACCCAGCAGCAGTCGGTGCGCCACATTCTGCTTGTCCCGGGGGTGGATACTGCCCAGGAAGAGGAGGGAGATGGGGCTGGTGCCCAAACACTCCATCCCTACACCCTCACCCCAGCCCAGGACTCACCTGCCATAGGGAGAGTGCTCATCACCCAGATCCATGGCTACGGCCATGAAAGTTCTGGGCATCCTGGCATTGGGAACAACCCCCAGGTCAGCAGTCTGGTGCCAGCGGAGCCGGGCAAAGCTGTCGTCTGCACTCCGACGGCGGTAGGTGGACAGCTGCGAGGCACAGGGGAAATGGGGGAATGGCTCACATCCCAAAACTGGCCACTGTGGTCACTGCCTGGGATTTTCAGCATTTGAGGGGATGTGTCCATGTGTTTACAGTGTCCTCTCCCTGGACATCCCCCCAGGACAATGGGGGTCCTGCCTCCACCCCCCCACCCCCACCTGCACGAAGCCAAAGGGGAGAAGTGGCTCTGTCTGTCCGGCTGATCCAGTGTGGAATGCCTGGCGCCAGTCGGCGATGAGTGCAGGGAAGGTGCAGTTGTACTGGTCTGTGTTCAGGAAGACATTGGCCTCACCTGTCCCCCAAAAAGAAGGGCTGGTGAGAGCTCGGTGGGATAGTGGGGGCTGCTTCACCCCAGGGGACAGAAATGGAGGCTCACCCTGGTACCAAGCGACACCACGCAGGGTCATGTTGAGCAGCGGGTGTATCATGGCATTCCAGAGCACGGAGGGCTTTTGTGGGCCAGAGAGATGCTGATGTGGGGAAGTGCTGAAAGACAAAGCTGGGTTTAAAGGGGGTGCAAAGCACAAGAGAGGCTTTAGGTTAAAGCAAGCACCATGCCAAAGGGAGATCTGGGGTGCCTCCCTGTCCCTTTTACCCACCCAGATGTGCCTTACGCCCTTGGCATGAGACAGATTTTTATCCAGAGGGGGCATAATGATGCATAGA